CCACCATGCCCGGCTAATTTTTGTATTTTTAGTAGAGACGGGTTTCTCCATGTTGGTCAGGCTGGTCTCAAGCTCCCGCCCTCAGGTGATCCCACCTCAGCCTCCCAAAGTTCTGGGATTACAGGCTTGAGCCACTGTGCCCAGCCTATGACCCAAATTTTTAACTTGGTCACTGCTATAGTTGGAATGTTTGTATCCCTCTAATATTCATATGTTGAAATCCTAACCCCTAAAGTGATGGTATTAGAAGGTGGGCTGTTGGGAGGTAATTAGGTCATGAGAACTAAAGGGATTAGTGTCATCATAAAAGAGTGCTGAAGGAGCTCAGTTGTCCCTTGCACCATGTGAGGACACAGCGAAATGTGCCTTCTATGAAGTAGGCTCTCACCAGACACCAAATCTGCCAGTGCCTTTTTTTTTTTTTAGAGACAGGGTTTCACCATGTTGCCCAGGATGGTCATGAACTCCTGGGCTCAAGCGATCTGCCCACCTCAGCCTCCCAAAGTTCTGGGATTACAGGTGTGAGCCAGCATATCTGACCAAATCCTCCAGTGCCTTGATCTTGAATTTCCCAGCTTCCCTAACTGTGAGAAATACATTTCTGTTGTTATAGCAACCCAAATGGACTAAGACAGTCACCTCATCTAAATATGAATTAAAGTCAAGAAAATGCTAAATTGATAGCACGGACATACCCACATTGCCTCCTACCTCCCAAGTTTGCTGTATGTGGCTGTAGTCATGTCATAACAGTCTAGAGGGGCCTGCTGTGAGTGACACTCCCTAGGACCAAGCTTTAGGCTATGCAGTTGGAGGTGACATTTGGATTGAAATAACAGAGAAGCTGAAGTAATAGGTAAGAAGATGAGCACACAACTCTGCAGGGAGATTTAAGACCAGAAAATGGGAAATGAGCACTTTGGTCAGAGGTCAAGAGGCAGCTAGGTGCAGTGGCTCATGCCTGTAATCCCAGCACTTAAGGAGGCTGAGGCGGGAAGACTGCTTGAGCCTAGGAGTTTGAGATCAGCCTGGGCAACAAAGTGAGATCCCGTCTCTACCAAAAAAAAAAAAAAAAAAATTAAAAATTAGCCAGGTTTGGTGGTATGTGCCTGTAGTCCTTAATAGTCAGGAGGCTGAGGCAGGAGGATTGCTTCTGCCCAGGGATTTGAGGTGGCAGTGAGCTGTGATCATACAACTGCACTCCAGCCTGGGAAAAGGAATAAGACTCTGTCTGAAACAAAAAACAAAAAACAAAAAAAAAGTAAGAGGCTGGAGAGACAGAAAAAAATATAGTTTTTAAAATGCCAAACTGGGCCCTCATAGAATGTTGAGGTTTTTCTCCTATGGTGTGCCAGGCACACTGAGTGGGGAGGTCATGTGTAACTCCTTTGCTTCAGGCTCTCTCTACTTGTCCATCACCAACCACAAGGAGTAATGGAAGGGCTGAACTTTCCCAGGTTTGCTTGGCAAAGAGTTGTGATGATCCCAGAGCATACTGTGGGGTGGAGTGTTATGAGAAGGTTCTGTGGTGGTGGGAGTCCAGGATATCTTGCAATTAAGTCCTTCCTCTTGCACTGGATGACAAGAGTATATGCACATTGCCAGGCAGAGTCCACATGGGCTGGCCATAGTGAGAAACGGTGGAAAACAGGGTGGTGTATATAAAAAGTGGATGGCAGCCAGGCACGGTGGAACACGCCTGTAATCCCAGCACTTTGGGAGGCTAAGGCGGGCTGATCACGAGGTCAAGAGATTGAGACCATCCTGGCCAACATGGTAAAACCCCATCTCTACTAAAAATACAAAAATTAGCTGGGCATGGTGGTGCACGCCTATAGTCCCACCTGCAGGCGCTGGGGCGGGAGAATCCCTTGAACTCAGGAGGGGGAGGTTGCAGTGAGCCGAGGTCACGCCACTGCACTCCAGCCTGGCAATAGGGTGAGACTGTCTCAAAAAAGAAAAAAGAAAGAAAGAAAGAAAAAAAGTGCATGGCAAGGCCAGGGAACTAGAAATAGAGGGCAGAAGTTCATAGTTTTGAGAGGCCAGACTGAACACTGGGCTAGTTGCATTTTTTTTTTTTTCTTTTGAGACACTGTCTCATTCTGTCACCCAGGCTGGAGTGCGGTGGTGAGATCTTGGCTCACTGCAACCTCCACTTCCCGGGTTCAAGCAATTCTTCTGCCTCAGCCTCCTGAGTAGCTGGGACTACAGACGTGCCACCATGCCCGCCTAATTTTTGTATTTTTAGTAGAGATGGGGTTTCACCGTATTTGCCAGGCTGGTCTTGAACTCCTGACCTCGCGATCCACCCGCCTCGACCTCCCAAAGTGCTGGGATTACCGGCACGAGTCACTGCATCTGGCCGCTAGTTGCTTTTTTAAACATTGTGGTAAAATACACATATCATAAAATTTACCATCTTAACTATTTTTAAGTGCACAATTCAGTAACATTAGTACTTTCACCTTGTTGTGCTACCATCAATATCGGGCCCATCAATACCATCCATAGAACCCTTTTCATCTTGCAAAACTAAAACTCTGTACCCATTAAGTGACAATTCCCCATCCCCCTGTCGCCCAGCCCTGGTGACGACCATTCTACTTTCCATCTCTATGAATTTGACTATTCCAGGTACCCCATGTAAGTGGAATCATACTATATTTTTCCTTTTGTGATTGGCTTATTTCACTTGGCATGACGTCCTCAAGGTTCATTCATATTGTAGCATGTGTCAGAATTTCCTTCCTTTTTAAGGCTGAATAATATTCCACTTTATGTATATACCACATTTTGCTTATCCATTCATCTGATGATGGACACTTGGTGCCATTGTTTGAATGTATTCCCCAAGCTCATGGGTTGGAAACTTAATTCCCAATTCAACAGTGTTGAGACCTTTAAGAGGTGAGTAGGTCATGAGGGGCTCTCCCCTTATGAATGGATTAAAGCAGTTATCACACGAGTGGGTTCCTGATAAAAGGATTTGTTTGACCTCCTTTTCTCCCTCTCATGCTCTCTTGCCCTTCCACCTTCCACCGTGGAATGGCACAGCAAGAAGGCTCTCACCAGATGTCAAGTATTTGCCAGTACTCTGCCCTTGGACTTCCCAGTTTCCAGAACCATGAGCCAAACACATTTCTTTTCTTTATAAATTACCCAGTCTCAGGCATTGTGATACAGCAACACAAAACGGATAAAACACTTGGATTGCTTCCACCTTTTGGCTATTGTGAAAAATGCTACTATGAACATGCATGTACAAATATCTCCTCAGGTCCATGCTTTCAGTTATTTTGGGTATATACTAAGAATTGCTGAATCACATGATAATTCTATTTTTAATTTTTTGGGGGCCCACCATACTGTTTTCTATAGCTATTGCACCGTTTTACATTCCCATCAACAGTGCACAAGAGTTCCAATTTCTGCATACCTTTGTCAACATTTACTATTTTCTGGGTTTTGGTAGTAGCCATCCTAATGGGTTTGAGGTGGTACCCCATTGTGGTTTTGATTTGCATTTCCCTAATGATTAATGACATTGAGCATTTTTTTCATATGCTATTGCCATTTGTATAACATTTTTTGAGAAATGTCTATTCAAATTCTTTGCCCATCTTAAAATTGAAGATTTTATTGTTGAGTTGTGAGAGTTTTGTTTGTTTTGTTTTGTTTTGCTTTGTTTTTTTGTTTTGAGGCAGGATCTCACTCTGTCACCCCAGCTAGAGTGCAGTGATGCAATCACAGCTCACTGCACTATTGACCTCCAAGGCCCAAGCGATTCTTCCACACCAGCCTCCTAGGTAGCTGGGACTATAGATGCACACCGCCACGCTCAGCTAATTTTGTTCTTTATTTTATTTATTTATGTATTTATTTTTTTTGTAGAGACAGGGGTCTCACTATGTTGCCCAAGGTGGTCTTGAACTCCTGGGCTCAAGCAACCCTCCCACCTCAGCTTCCCAAAGTGCTAGGATTACAGGCATGAGCCACCATGCCCAGTGTAAGAGTTCTTCATACATTCTGGATACTAAACCCTTATCAGACGTATGATTTGCAAACATTTTCTCCCATTGTGTGGGATGCCTTTTACTCTGCTGATGTGTCCTTTAATGCACAGAACCTTTTAATGTTGATGTAGTCCAACTTTTCTTTTTCTTTTGTTGTCTGTACTTTTGTTGTCGTATCCAAGAAATTATTGCCAAACCCAATGTTATGAAGTTTTTCCTCTGTTTTCTTCTAAGAGTTTTATAGTTTCAGGTCTTACATCTAGGTTTTTAATCCATTTTGATTTAATTTTTGTATCTGGCATAAAATGGGGGTCCAATTTCTCTTGCAAGTTGATACCCAGTTTTCCCAATGTTATTTGTTGAAAAAACTGTCCTTGCCCCATTGGATGGTTTTGGCACCCTTATGGAAAATCATTTGGTCATATGTGCAGGTGTTTATTTCTGGACTCCAAAAGGGCTATTTGTTGAGTTTATGCGAGGATCAGGAGATAACTGTGGTAAAGGTGAGTCAGATCAGGTTCTATGCTTGGATGACCACCTCGAGTAAATGATGCACAGTGTGAGGCTTTATAGCCGTCTTTGGCCTATTTTGGAGAATCTTACAGATCTTCGGAAAGCAGCTCAGATCTTATCTTAATTGTGACCAGTTGAATGGACAGTGGTGATGCTTAGAGGTGCTGCTAGGTATTGTGAGTGGAAGTCCTAAATGCTGTGGCAGGAGGCATTCTGCATAGAGTTATGGGCAGCATTATTAAAAGTGACCTTGGATGCCAAAGCATAGATGGTACAAAAACTATACCGTAAGGACCCATTTCACATGCTTTGTTTGGCTTTTGCTGGATAGCACATGGCTAGATTTGTTCTCTGAGATTCTTGAAAAGGGTCTAAAAAATGAGGATACTAATTAATAAGCTGAGGTTGGCAAAACTATGGTGGCCAAATAGTGGTGGCCTGCTGAAGCCAAAGATTTAAGTAGGAGGTGCTTACCACACTTCAGACAAATGGGCATCTATCCTGAACTGCAGGCATCTAAAGAGCGGGGGTTCATTTCATAAGCCACGTGCATTTCAGTATTCTCAGTATGCAGCACAGTTCTGGCACACAGTAGATGCTTAATAAGCATTTGATTATCTGAATTAAACATAAGCCAAAGAAACAGCAATGACTTTCCTAAATAAGAAAACTCAACTTTTCAGTTAGCAAGTTTAAGGCTAATTATTTTAAAATAATTATTTAAATAATTTTTATATTACATATATTTATATTAGATATAAATACTTAAATAATATTTACATTATTTATCCTGTAATTATTTATTCTTCTCAAAGAGACAAAGACTTGTTCACCATCTGTATTAGTCAAGGTTCTCCAGACAGATAGAACCAATAGGGGAGAGAGAGACAGAGAGAGACGGAACGAGAGAGAGAAAGATAAAGAGAAGAGAGGATTTATTAGGGGAATGGCCTCACAGAATTATGCAGGCTGAGAAGTCCCATGATAGGCCATCTACAAACAGGAGACCCACGGAAGCCAGTGGCATAGCTCAGTCCAAGTACAAACATCTCGGCACCAGGGAAGTCAACAGTGTAACTGTCAGTCTGAGGCTGAAGGCCTAAAAACCAAAGATGCTGCTTGTGCAAGTTCCAGAGTCCAAAGGCCAGATAACCTGGAGTTCAAAGGCAGGAGAAGAAGGGGGTGTCCTAGTTCCAGGAGAGAGAGAAAATTCACCTTCCCTCTACCTTATTCTATTCAGGTCGCCCACATTGAGGGCAGCTCTTCCCCACTCGGTTCACTGACTCACATACCAATCTCCAGAAATAATGCTTTACCGGCTATTTAGGTATCCCTTAATCCAGCCAAGTTGACACCTAAAGTTAACCATCACGTCATCCTTTAAAAAAAAAAATATATATATATATATATCTCTAAATAACAATATATATTTTATAAATATATGTCATATATTATAAAATATCATACTATATATTAATAACAATATTAATTACCACTTATTAAGCACCAGTTATCTCCAGGCATCATACCTAACATTTGATGTGCATTATATTTAGTCCTTGCAACAATCTGCAGGTAAGCATTATTTCCATTTCATAGTTCAGTGCATTGAACCTTGGAGATTTCAAGTGTCTTGCTTAAGGTTACAAAACCACCAATAGTGAAGTTAGGATTTATATCCAAAATGGGTCCCATGTTTCTGCTTTGAGAACCCTTTTTGCCAGTTTCTACCTGGGCACTATTATTTTCATCTTCTAGCATGCATTTATTTTAGGGCAAACCCATTTCTTCCCTATAAACAAACCACTAACAGTCTTTTCTCCATCTCTGGCCTTTTCCCAAGTTCTCTATGTTCCTTAAATTTAGCATCAGCCCAGCATTGACAGTATCATTCAGTGTGACACACACACACACGTGTGTATGCATTGTAATGTCAACAAAAATACAACCATCTCCCTTTCCATGTTAAATCAGCATAGAAACTATTTTATAACTATTCAAATATTCACAAAAAGTCAAATTTTTTTAGAAAGTGAACAAATAAAAGGAATAATAACTACCCAGACCCCTGGTGAGAGCTAGGTGGTGAGATGCTGAAGAACCATTGACAAGTGCATCTCTGAGCAGACTACTCAGCAAATAGCAAAAGGATAAAGCAGAGTCTACCCCCACACTGCTCTAGATTTGGTCTATGTAGCATATGCTTTACCCAACACTTATAAAAGGTTTAGGTAATTCCCACTCCTGTTCTTTCCTGCCATGTGGAGGGACAGCAACTGATTTAAGACTGCCAGCCTCTTTAATCCCACCCTCCTCATTCCTGGGAGAGGTGGAGTGATTTCTCTAATCAGTGAATATGGGCGGTTACTTAGGCTTGTTTAATCCAGCTCTTCTTTGTTTTCTGTTGGAGGAAAGTGTGCTGCAATAGGCCTCAAAGGGGCAGGGCCCCCTGTGTAGAGTCCTTGGCTGTCTAGCTGTGAGCCCTGATTCTGGGGTTCAGTATTAGGAAGACACTAATTCCTTGTACCCAAAGTCCATTTTTTCCAGTACCAGCTTCATCAGTAATTGAGCTATTTTTTTTTTCTTTTTTTTTTTTTCTTTTTGAGACAGAGTCTTGCTCTGTTGCCTAGGCTGGAGTCCAATGGCACAATCTCGGCTCACAGCTACCTCCACCTCCCGGGTTCAAGTGATTCTCCTGCCTCAGCCTTCTGGGTAGCTGGGATTACAGGCTCCCACCACCACACCCAGCTAACTTCTGTATTTTTAGTAGAGACGGGGTTTCGTCATGTTGCCCAGGCTGGTTTCAAACTCCTGATCTCAGGTGATCCACCTGCCTCAGCCTCCCAAAGTGCTGGGATTACAGGCAAGAGCCACTGTGCCCAGGGTGAGCTGACATTTTAATCTTCATTTATTGACACCTTAATCTATTTGATTGGTTTAAAACTTGGGCAGAGAACATAGGGATATTATTTATTGGGTTTCTCTCAAACCCCACTGGATGGCTGTGATTCCACACTGGGGTCTTGTCTAGTAGACTATTCTGCCCTGTATTCTTTGATTCCCTCTGTTTATTTCCTCAGATGGGGGCAGTAAATCCTGAATCACTTGGTGACTCCATTATACTGATACCTACCCAGTTCCCTTAGTTCCCTTATACAAGGTAGGAGTCAGGCCTTTCTCCTTCACTGAGGAATGAGGGTGATCTTCTGGTTGGCCAGTGTCTCCTTCCTCTTTACATCTCTGGGTATATTTCTCCTAAATCCATGCCACATCTTTCCAGATTTATGAAGCATCAACAAACTCATGGTTTGTGATATCATGGTAGAAAACAAATATAAAAGTCCAAGGGCTCTGGAATCAAACAAAGAATCAGGTAAAGGTGAGTCACTGCTCTTCAAAACAGTGTCAAGAAAAAAGTGTTTTATGTAGGGAAGTTTAAATTTTCCCTCTGAAGGTTCAATAAGTGAGTCATCCCACTGAAATAAACTGACAATAGACAAATTAACAGGAGAAAAGCATACAAATTTATTAACTTGCATAAGCACGGAGCCACATAAAATATGAGACTCAAGGAAAGGCCAGATGGAACTTACATAGTTCCCTCTTCACAGAAGAGAGGGGATGGGGCAATACAGCCTATTTTGAAGGATAATAACATGGTTTGACTGTGTCCCCACGCAAATCTCACCTTGAATTGTAATAATCCCCATGTGTCAAGGGCTGGGCCAGGTGGAGATAATTGAATCATGGGGGCAGTTTCCTCCATACTGTTCTCGTGGTAGTGAATAAGTCTCATGAGATCTGATGGTTTTATAAATAGGAGTTCCCTTGTACAAGCTGTCTTGCCTGCTGCCATGTAAGATGTGACTTTGCTCTTCATTTGCCTTCAGTCATGATTGTGAGGCCTCCCCAGCCATGTGGAACTGTGAGTCAATCAAACCTCTTTCCTTTATAAATTACCCAGTCTCAGTTATGTCTTCATTAGTAGCATGAGAACAGACTAATACAGTAAATTGGTACCAGGAGTGGGGTGCTGCTGTAAAGATACCTGAGAATGTGGAAGCAACTTTGGAAATGGGTAACAGGCAGAGGTTGGAACAGTTTGGAGGACTCAGAAGAAGACAGGAAAATGGGGGAAAGTTTGGAACCTCCTAGAGACTCTGTTGAATGGCTCTGACCAAAATGCTGATAGTGATATGGACAATAAAGTCCAGGCAGAGGTGGTCTCAGATGGAGATGAGGAACATATTGGGAATTGGAGTAAAGATCACTCTTGCTATGCAAAGAGTCTGGTGGCATTTTGCCTGCCCTAGAGGTCTGTGGAACTTTGAACTTGAGAGAGAGGACTTACAGTATCAGGTGGAGGAAATTTCTAAGTGGCAAAGCGTCAAGAGGAAGCAGAGCATAAAAGTTTGGAAAATTTACAGCCTGACAATGTGATAGAAAAGAAAACCCTATTTTTGGGGAGAAATTCAAGCCAGCTGCAGAAATTTGCATACGTAATAAGGAGCCAAATGTTAATCACCAAGACAATAGGGAAAATGTCCCCAGGGCATGTCAGAGACCTTTGTGGCAGCCCCTCCCATCATGGGCCCAGAGGCCTAGGAGGGAAAAATGGTTTCCTGGGCTGGGACCAGGGACCCCCTGCTGTGTGCAGCCTCCGGATTTGGTGCCCTGCATCCCAGCTGGTCCAGCCATGGCTAGTAGGAACCAAGGTACAGCTGGGGCCATGGCTTCAGAAGGTGCAAGCCCCAAGCCTTTGCAGCATCCACATGGTGTTGAGCCTGCAGGTGCACAGAAGCCAAGAACTGAGGTTTGGGAACCTCTGCCTACATTTCAGAGGTTGTATGGACACACCTGGATGTCCAGGCAGAGATGTGTTGCAGGGGCAGAGCCCTCATGGAGAACCTCTGCTAGGGCAGTGCAGAAGGGAAATGTGGAGTGGGAGCCCCCACACAGAGTCCCTACTGGGACACTGCCTAGTGTAGCTGGCAGAAGAGGACCACCATCCTCCAGACCCCAGAACGGTAAATACAGCAACAGCTTGCACTGTGCGCCTGGAAAAGCCACAGACACTCAACACCAGCCCATGAAAACAGCTGGGAGAGGGGCTGTACCCTGCAAAGCCACAGGGACAGGGCTGCTCAAGACTGTGGGAATCTACACCAGCATGACTTGAATGTGAGATATGGAGTCAAAGGAGGTAATTTTGCAGCTTTAAGATTTGACTGCCTCATTGGATTTTGGACTTGCTTGGGGCCTGTAGCCCCTTCATTTTGGCCAATTTCTCCCATTTGGAATGGGTATATTTACCTAATGCCTGTACCCCCATTGTATCTAGAAAATAACTAACTTGCAGGCTGGGCACAGTGCAGTGGCTCACGCCTGTAATCCCAACACTTTGGGAGGCTGAGGTGGGTGGATCACCTGTGGTCAGGAGTTCGAGACTAGCCTGGCCAACATGGTGAAACCCCATCTTTACTAAAAATATAAAAATTAGCCGGGCATGGTGGCAGGTGCCTGTAATCCCAGCTACTCGGGAGGCTGAGGCTGGAGAATTGATTGAACCCTGGGAGGCGGAGGTTCAAATTCCTGACCTCAGGTGATCCACCCACCTCTGCCTTGCAAAGTGCCAGGATTACAGGTGTGAGAGACCATGTCTGGCCAGGTATGTCTTTATTAGCAGTGTGAGAACAAACTAAAACAGGCAGTGAATGATTTTTAGGAGAATTGAGTGGACCCAAAGAGCAGACAGTAGTTTATAAATGAAACTTTGAAAACTAAATGGGACCAGAGAAGAAATAATGGCCTGCAACAAAGTTTTTTTGTGCTCTGTGAGAGGTGGCAACAAATTTTAGGAAGGCAAGAGGCAGAACTTCATTGTGACCAAAGGTTGTCTTATTATGCAGATAAAGTCTCCCCAGTAACCTCTTGGAACTGCCCTCAGAAAAACAGATGAAAATTCTGTCTGGGCAAGGTGACTTTCAATCTTTTCTGGTGGTTAATCTTCTCTGGTTATTTAATGAGATTTCTTAGGGAAGGGGTTTTGGGCCAATGGTGTTTCTTTTGGAAGAACTCAGTCAGATAAGGAAACTTCCACAGAGAACCCCCTTCCTGTGTTTGACGTGGGGTGAAGAAACCAAGAGTCCTTGGTTCTTTTTTTTTTTTTTTTTGAGACAGAGTTTCACTCTTGTTGCCCAGGCTGGAGTGCAATGGCACAATCTCGACTCACTGTAACCTCCGCCTCCTGGGTTCAAGCGATTCTCCTGCCTCAGCCTCCCGAGTAGCTGGGATTATACGCATGTGCCACCACACCTGGCTAATTTTGCATTTTTAGTAGAGATGGGATTTCTACATGTTGGTCAGGCTGGTCTCGAACTCCTGACCTCAAATGATCTGCCTGCCTCCGCCTCCCAAAGTGCTGGGAGTGTGAGCCACCGCACCCGGCCAACTCCTTGGTTCTGAGACAGCTTTGATGGCGTTTTAATTTCCTTTAGTTCAGTGTGCTCAGCATGCTGAAGAACCATCCTTTGGACCATTGTTTTCTGCACCCTAATACTTTTAGTAGCCATTTCTGTGCTACAAAAACACCGGAAATGGTGTTTCAGGTAAGCAGAAAAAAGCTGACAGCCTCTCGCTTTCCTATTTCCAAAGCTCCACCAGTGCTCTTTCTTGGGTTCTTTCTCTGAGCTTAGGCAGGGGACAGTTAAGCCTACTGTCCAGTTCTCTGAGATTCAGTCATAAGTCACTCTTGCAACAATCTTCTGTGACTTTGTGTTTTTCTTTGGGTCACTGAAGCAGCATTTGGCTAATGTGTCTGTGTGTAAGTGTGTCCACTTTCCATAAGGTCAGAGTGCTATTGGCTTCTGCTGGTAGCCTTCCCTGGAGGTGACTGCTCCTCACTGAGCTTTAGAGGAATGACCAACTCTGGATTCTTCATCACCAGTGACACAGTGTGCTTCCTCAGTTGGACCTTGTCTATGCCAATAGCTTAGTCTTTGTCTGTACCACCACAAATACGGTATTTATTGTTTTTTTTTGTTTGTTTTTTTTGTTTTTTTTTTTTGAGACAGAGTTTTGCTCTTGTTGCCCAGGCTGGAGTGTGGTGGCGTGATCTCAGCTCACTGCAACCTCTGCCTCCTGGGTTCTAGTGATTCTTTTGCCTCAGCCTCCTGAGTAGCTGGGATTACAGGTGTACACCACCATGCCCAGATAATTTTTTGTATTTTTAGTAGAGACGGGGTTTCACCATGTTAGCCAGGCTGGTCTCGAACTCCTGACCTCAGGTGATCCACCCGCCTCAGCCTCCCAAAGTGTTGGGATTACAGGTGTGAGCCACTACGCCTGGCCGAATATGGTATTTGATTTGACATTTTATATTACAGATTAAGTCCTTAAGAAAGACAACACTCATCCCTGATGTACTGAAGATCTTTGATTTGTCAGTCAGTGCTTTCTACTTTCATTCTACTTATCATTCAACTTTCTCTTTTTTTTTTTTTTTTTTGAGACGGAGTCTTGCTCTGTTGCCCAGGCTGTGGTGCAGTGGCCGGATCTCGGCTCACTGCAAGCTCTGCCTCCCGGGTTTACGCCATTCTCCTGCCTCAGCCTCCCGAGTAGCTGGGACTACAGGTGCCCACCACCTCGCCCGGCTAGTTTTTTGTATTTTTTAGTAGAGACAGGATTTCACCATATTAGCCAGGATGGTCTCGATCTCCTGACCTCATGATCCACCCGTCTTGGCCTCCCAAAGTGCTGGGATTACAGGCTTGAGCCACTGCGCCCGGCCTTATCATTCAACTTTCTTAGGTTAACTATCTTCTAATGTAAAAAAAAAAAAAATGCATTAATATATAAAAGTATAGTCTTCAAGTTTAGAAAGCCTGTCTCTTTGGAAAGTTACTGACCTCATAGCAAACTATGAATAAACTCCCCAAAGTAGGATGAACCGAGCAATTTATATCCATATATAAACATAATTATACTATACAGTTACATAACTAGAATAAAATTTAATGTAAATGTGCCAAAGAGGAGAAGAAATCACAGATTTACAAAACTTACATGAAATAAGAAAATGTTCAACTATGTAATAACCAAAGCTTCCTTAACTTGGGAATCTTGGGAACCTAGAAAGTGAGGTAACCCAAGTCAAATTCCTTTGGTGTCACAGTTCCTCCTATACCAGGTCAGGCACTTGCTAATGAAATTGGAGTTGGGGTAAGCCCTGGGTGTGTTGTATAGTGTGTGAGGTAGTACGTGAAAAACAGCAAAGAGGTAATTATTTATTCTCGCGAGCTTCCTCGTGCACATGATCAGCTTCTGCACACGCTTGGAGGAAAAACACCACT